TAATTAAGTATAATAACATTAATACATACGTTATTGTAAATTTTGTCATTAATAAAACTAAGAATTTGGAGCACCAACTGTAATTAATTGTGAAATCAATGCATTACTCGTGTCTTCCGTAAATATTATCGTATCTTACTTATATTATATTCCAAGAAAAGAACCTCCCGAGAATTTAAATATTCAAGTATTTATATTCTTCCCTCAACCAATAAACTTAAGAGTTTTACTGAATAAATAATTCAAGAGGCGTCGAGAAGAAAGTCAAACTTTTTACCCTGAATAGCGTTTTTTTATTAAAGGAAATAAGGACTATCAGCCAACAGACGTGGAGCCCTATCGGTTCACGATCCTAAGTAATAATTAATAGAATTGATACTTCTTATATATCAATATAAACTGGTCAACAGTTTTGTAGTGAAAATTTCTTTTAAGCTATTATATTTTTGAGATCGATGTCGTTCTGTGGGTCAAAAACGCTTTTAAAGATTCGTGACAAAATGATTGCTTTCGAAATCAAAGGGCTTCCGGTGGGACCCCAACCCTTGACAATTCTTCCAGTTCTCGTTCCTTTGTAAAACTGTTTTGAATTTTTTTCTTAAGAATTTTTAGGTGCGTCGAAAGAAGAATGTTGTAAAGGATAATTACTTTTTAAAACTAATTGCAGCCATTGTAAGGTATGTACTTTTTGAAAACGCTCTGCTCTCGAACTTCATTTTATATTATATGATTTCATTTTCATTAATCACAAAATACATATGTTGGTAAGTACATTACTCACAGTACACGGTTTTTGACATTTTATGTTGTGTGTTTTATTGCCAAGACAAGATTTTTAAACACTTTTAAATAAAATACAGTTGCTGGTTGGACTCTAGTAATGTGATATTCGTAAAATCATTCGTCGTTTTAAATCATGAAAAGAAAAAACTAATTGAAACTTATTCGGCCGTATTATAAACAAGGTTTAACTTTAGTCTAGGATTAAACCATTGAGCCAGTTTTTGTATTTCGAATTGAAGGTAGATGACAATAAGATTCAAAATTCAAAACCCGACTCAATGGTTCACCTAAACCTGGACTAAAGATAAATCTTGTTGTGTAATATATATATATATACATAAAAAAAAAGTCTTAATGCCAAGGGGCATTAAGACTCTTTTTTTATTATGTATTTTTGTGTATAAGTTTTATATAGTATCAAAGCCTGAAAAGTCAGACTCAACTTATCTCGGAATACAAGGATCACTTTATTTTGACATGTGAAAAAAGTCAATCATAAAATGTTTCAAATATATTTGAGCTCATTTAACACATAACTCGAGTCAGTCAGCTGTGCATTTTCAACGAGGCGGTACAAAATTTTCCCGGGAAAAAGAAACACATATTTAATGTTCATTCAATCACAGCGTATTAGGCCTTCCACCGGAAAATCGTTGACACCACATCTTTTTAAACATAATTCAGATTTTTTTAATATAATTTTTAGGTTTAGTAGATAAAAAAGAACAAAATCAGCTGACAGGATATTCCAGATAGCAAAACTATTTTCAAATAACAATAGCAAACTATAATGGGATTTTTGCAGTTTATAATATCCCCGAGTCTATGCCAGCTCCTTCGAGCCAGCTCAATTAAGGGAAGAATGAGGTAGAGTTTGTTCCTAATCAATGTTCACTCTAGCTATTTACAAGGACTAACTGAAGATCAAAATTAAGACACCTCCCGGGAATCAAGTCCTTACGGTCGCCACTGTGTAACAGCTCGCCACAAGCTGGTTTGCGGATAATAATAATATATTTAATTATTTATAAAAAAAATACTTTTCTAGCTACTCTCGCGCGGTTTCACCTGCTGCTCGGCTCCAATTAATCATAGCGTGATGTTTTATAGGAGGAACATTGTAACTATCTATCAGTGAAAGAATTTTGGCAAACCGACCAGCGGTTCCAAAGATTACCCCCTACATAGAAACTTACAAATTTAACCTCTTTATAATATAATATATACTATAGTATAGTATAGATTGTACACATTATTTAAAATTCAACGAAGAGCAGGCTTACAACAACAGAGTTTATAATGGGCGGCAAACATAGTGATTTCGTCCAGACAACCTTTGGATGGATTTTTTAAAGAAGTTCCAGACTTCTTATTAGGCAGATATACATACATATATTATACGAATTAAAAATAAAAAACGTGAGAGATAAAGGATATATTTTAAAGAGGATGTATATCCGTTACCCACTACACACAATAAAAAGTTAGAATGCATGAAAAAGATGAAGAAAATGACGAGTTCTATAATGGAAAAAGTTTTTCGTAAACAATAATTACGGAATAAAACCGTTTTATACGTAAGTTAAGATGGATGGGACCCGTTAACTTTTTAAAGTGTTCGGTAATGTGATTAGGTAAAAGAAAAACGCTTGAAACGTAACAGGTTGGGAGGTCTTACTTACTTTTTTCATTTCATTCATCGGTTTTATCTAAGAAGGAATACATCTATTAGTTGAATAGTGTAGTAAGAATAAAATTATAAAAGATTGGGTCTGCAGTAACCTCACTCATACGACGAAACACAACGCTTTTTTTTTTTTTTTTTTGTCAGGGGAAAATCATTCAATGACGTCTCCCGCCCAGGGTAAGGCGAGAGAGAGTGTCAGACTCTTACTGACTAAAAACCCCCCCGTTCCTTCTCCTGCTCTGGGCCGAGGTCGCGGTGCCTCATTGCGCTTACCCCGCAGCCCCGGCTAAACATCAGCCCTTTAGGGCCCCGACTGTGGTGGTCTATTGGCTCTTTGAGGCGCGCGCGGAACGCTACGCGCCGTACGCTCGGGTCCAGTTCTGGTCGGGCGGCGAGCTACCCTTACTCGCCGTCCGCAGACCCGCGCTTACGGTGGCCGGAGATCATCCCTCGATCCCCGACGTCCGGAATGTCGCCTTCTGCGGCGGCTGGGGCGCGAGGAGGATAGTTCCCTCACGCGCTCCGCCTCCTCACGAAACACAACGCTGTGGTTACAATTAATAAGATGATGTTTTAGTTTGGTTTTCGAAGTTTATTTCACTGTCTCATCTATACTTATTTAATATTATAAAGAGCTAAAATTTGTAAGTTTGTATGTAGGGGGTAATCTTTTGAACCGCTGGTCGGATTGCCAAAATTCTTTCACTGATATATAGCTACAGTGTTCCTGAGTGCTGTAGGCTATAAAACATCCCGCTACGATTAAATGGAGCTGAGCAGCGGGTGAAACCGCGCGAAAGTAGCTAGTGCTCAATAAAAAATATGATTTGTTTAATTAATGATCAATTATGATAAAATGGTTTGAAAAATGGAACTAAGTGAACTTAGATTGAGTGGCTGAATGACAGCCGCATAGTCGAAACTTTTACTCGTGTGTAACTCTATGATACATGTAGCTCCTTGGGAATTGTGAAAAACAGGGAAAACAGTGTTTCCCTTTATTTTTCCTTTGCACAGTGTGGGGGATTCAAGCTTCCGCGAGAATGGGTTGACTCGGCCGGATACCACGGTGTGAAAATAGGCGTGATCTACCACGGCGTTATGTTTCGCCGTGTCAGTCAGGTTTCCGGAGGACCAATCCTTTAGACCTTAAAGTCAAAGTCAAAATCATTTATTCCAACTAAACCATAAATAGGTATCTACTTTTAAAAAGTCGAAATAGAATAGTAACGTCCAAAACCCTAATCCCTAATAATCCGGCAACGCACTCGTAACTCCTCTGGTGTCGCGATTGTCAATGCTTACCATCAGGCATTAGCTCGTTACCGACAAATCACATAAAAAACATTTGCTGTTTATGTACGTAGGACATAATCGTTGATCCACTTTAATCGACCTAAAAAAGAAATTCAATTGCTACCCCTCATTAAGCTTTTCATACCAAAAATTTTAAGTGTGGGAGAGCCAAGCTTCGGCACGAATGGGTCGGCTCGACCGGAGTGATACCACGGCCTCACAGAATACCGGCGTGAAACAACCCAAAGTGTTGTGTTTCGCCGTGTGAGTGAGGTTACCGGAGGCCCAATCCCGTCCCTTCCCCTATCCCTTCCCGATCCTTACATCCGCAACCCTTATCCCCAAAAGGCCGGCAACGCACTCGTAACTCCTTTGGTGTTGCGGGTGTCCATGGGCGGCGCTGATTGCTTACCATCAGGTAATCCGTCTGCTCGTTTGCCGACTTATACCATTAAACAAAATACCAAGTTGCATTATGGTAGTATAATACCAGTGATGCCTATCCTATTAATAAATTTTATCAAGAAATTATTTCCGACTGTGATACCTACAGAGCTCTGAACATCGTAAACTGTGAGTTTACGATGAAATATTTTATTCAATACGAACTCCACTCTACCACAGTCCATTACTGAAACTAGGCCTAACTTCGGCCGAGTTACGTAGTACCGAGCTATCGAGCTCTCTCACCCGGCTGTTAGGCACTCTTTTAGCCTTTTGTAATATTTAAGTGTTTGCTGGTTCAAAATTACAAGACAAGACCTTCTATTTTTGAAACGTAAGCGTCATATTTTGAAGAACAAATCTTTTTGTAGAGCGAAATACAATTTGTCGATACCGTAATATTGCCTGTACAAGAAATAAATCAAGCGATATTTGCCCGGACATTGCACCAAAAACCCCGGTATTCAACAATAATCCCGCTGGTAATGTATAAAATAATCCATTAAGAACAATGGACAACATAATTCTAATAATTATTGTTCCACAACAATGAACGAACCGAAATTATAATTTAGTATCACAATCAACAATACAATCATGAGTACAACCAGCGCAATCTATTCCAATTCATATTTAAATTTTACAAGGCGTCATAAAATCTGAATGTACGGAGTACGAAGACTACGAAGGCAGGAAATTAGCGGAGTAAGAGGTATCGTATCCGTGCCGGAGTCCGGAGGGCGGGTAGAGAGACTCGGGAGTTTGGGGGCTCGGGACCTGGTGGCTGAGCCGCGCCTTCCTCCCGCACCGCAGTCTCCGACCGACCGCCGCGCCCGACGCCCGTCACTCCGCGACCAAAGTCCCGCATTCCCTCGGAAACGATAACCCACAATTCGTGAATTAAAATCCAAACTTCTGTGAATGTATTGAAGCATTTACGATAGTACATCCTCCTAGTAGTGTGTTACAAGTGTCTGTGTTTTAGTTTCATCTCCTAGTGAATTATAATTTTAACTGTGATCGCTGTCGAACAAAACACGGCGGTTTATAATTGAGCTTTGTTGAATTAAGGTAAGCGATTTTTTTTTTCACAATAATGAAAGATATTTTTACGTTGTTCCTTTACTTTTAAATAGGTAATTATTTTCTTGGCTTTTGTGTGTAAGAACAGAAGTAAGAACAGAAGTAATAGTTTAAGCTTATCTTTTAATTTAAACTTAGAATGTTACATTTAAGTAAAAATTTTTTCTTCATAAAATGGTGAAATTAAAATAAATCACATTTATACATTAATATTTAGTCTTATAGCCTAAATAATAATACAATAGATTAGGGTCAAAATTCAACTCTATTATTTAATACATAGATCTCGATTTTAAATTACAATTACCTACCCATTTTATTACAAACTAAACGAAATCCTGAAACAGACTGGGATAAATAGTTTTGACGTACACACGTAAAATAAATGTAGAACATATTTTCTACCTACCTCTACCTCGTTGCCTCATTCAGAATTATATTCCAATATCACTTCGTAAATAATGTAATAATCGAGATAAAATCCATAGTAATATTGACAATACATGAGTTTAAACTATAAATAGTTAAACGCATTGCGTACGGCGGCCATAGTTTAGTTAATCTATTACTGTTTAAGAGATAAGCGAGATAAGATAACTGACTACCATGTAGATACATGTGTTGCTGTCATCATTCGTCGAACAATTGAACTGGAGGAAGTATGATTACCGAGTATGATCTTCGAGCAAAGATTTTCTTTTCTTTTTGTGAAAACTTCGCACCACACTTGTATATTGTCCTATGTCAATAGGGCCGTTTACAAACATATTAATAACACATACTCATCACACACAAACCTGCAACAAAAGTTTATAGTTTATAGATTACACAAAGGGTTGCTTCGTGCGGGAATCGAACCTGCTATACGACGCGCTGTAGCGATTTTTTTTTTAATAGGTCGGCAAACTAGCAGACGGATTACCTGATAGTAAGCAATCAGCGCCGCCCATGGACACTCGCAACGGAGGAGTTACGAGTGCGTTGCCGACCTTTTAGGGATTAGGGATTTGGAGATTTAGGGATTTAAGAGGAATTGAGCCTTTTGCTCAGTTACAGCGCTTTTTTTGTGAGGGGAAAATCATCAAATGACTTCTCTCTTACTGACTTAAAACCCAGGGGGGTTCCTTCTCCTGCTCAGTTACAGCGCTAACAGTGCAATGTAAAATTACGTTTTCAATATTTTTGTAATAGTATGATACTTATTAATTAAATGTGTGTTAGAATTATTCGTTGTTTCTACCTCTAGAATGGGAACCAGGTTTTATGTACTGTTATTGTTTTAATAAGACGTTACGCTTCATATCCTTCTTATAAAAAGAGAGGAGACGAGACATATTTATTGAAAAACACAGCTTTCATCATTTGTGATGCATAATAATATAATTATGACAAACTATGATTAAGGGGCGAAGCTTAAACATACCAGGTGAAAAATGAGAGAGACATTTATAATAATGTGCCTACTTTTGCTTACAGAAGTTAACTTAAAGAATTAAAAGGCTTGAAGCTATTGTACACTCCGCGCAATGATATATATTATTACATTATATATAACTAACTGCTTTCGTGCAGTTTTACTCGCTGCTCGGCTCCATTTGATCGTAGCGTGATGTTTTATAGCCTATATCACTCAGTAACATGGTAGCTATCTATCAGTGAAAGAATTTTGGCGTTCCAAAGATTACCCCCTACATACAAATTAGTACATAATAGAAATACAGAAAACAAGTTAGAAAATTAAAGATGACCCAGTCTAGACAGATAATATTAGAACCATTACAACCCATATTTTCCCTGTTGAAGGAGTGCAGCAAGAGATTCCAAATAGGAATAATTATGCAGTACCCTTTTTTTACTTTTGATTAGTTGTATTATTTAATCAAATATTTTTTTATGTATTTTCTAAGATTATTTAAATACTACTGACATACGGTGAAGGAACAAATAGTGGGGCAACTTACCTTATAATTTCATTAACAGACTAAATACATTATATTTTTTTTTACACATGGTCATAGACAAACATGGTCAAAAGCAAACATGATGACGATGGGCAAAGCCGCATGCGGAGGCTACTAAAGTATCTATACTAATATTATAAAGAGGTAAAATTTGTAAGTTTGTATGTAGGGGGTAATCTTTGGAACCACTAATCGGATTTCCAAAATTCTTTTACTAATATATAGCTGCAATATTCCCGAGTGTTATAGGCTATCATACATCGCGCTTTTTCTTGTGAGGGAAAAATCATCGAATGACTTCTCCTGCCCAGGGTCGGGCGGGAGGGAGTGTCAGACTTATCTTACTGATTAAAACCCCCCGTTCCTTCTCCTGCTCTGGGCCGAGGTCGCGGTGCCTCATTGCGCTTACCCCGCAACCCTGGCATAATACATCACGCTACGATTAAATGGAGCCGAGCTGTGGGTGAAACCGAAAGTAGATAGTATGTCATTAATTAAATAATATGTATCTTAAGTGACCCACGGCCAGTTCAGTAGCAAAATTACACTTACTGTCTCTGTATTTTCGTAAGTGCATACCATATAACTGTGCAGGCACAAGGCTGAACAATTTCAATATTTAGAATTGGTTGTGTATTTAGGATTAGGATGGCGACCTCTATGTGTTGGGGAAATATTAGCTAAGTGAACCTCTATCTATTTACCGAGGGTGTCTTGTTGTTTTTAATAACAAAAGGTGTTACAAAGTAATTAATAGATATATATTTCTATTATTTTTAATGTATAGATATATACTAAGATAGCTATTAGTAGTTTAATTTGATGTTTATTTTGAGTTAATAATTTTGATAGCCAAAAGGAAGCCGAGCATTTATCTTTCATAAAGTTGTGAGTAACTGGCCGTTACGTGTTTTTTTTTTTAATTTTCTTTATTGGTGGATATTTAGAATATATTATATGGAACAATGTTTTAGTTATTATGATTACATCTTTACTGAAGTAGATGTGGAATAATACTCTAACAAAGTATATATATACATGCATATTGCATAGGTATACAATATGATCAAGAAATAATTTGTTATACACGTATTTCTATGTAACTGATACATTATGTATATTTATAATCATATCTATCATCTTGTTACATATCAATGTCAATATTGACACTTAACTCTTTGTAATATTTCTTACGTTTATATGTCTGTGTGTCTGTGTGTGTTTTCAGGCAAATAATATGTACTTATTATCTGCTTAGAATATTCAGTAAGAAGCAGTAGCATGAATTATTTTCCTATTTGTATATTAAAACATGACATTGCTGATTTTTCAATGGTTAGATAAAAGTTACCTGGGGAATAATATTATGATGCTGTCGCGTCAGAATGTTTGTATAAGACAGTGACAGCAACAATTTTATTCCTCAATTAACATTGATCTGACTATTGAAAAATCAGCCCTAAATGCCCCTGAAAGTATCATCATCTCACGTGTTTTGAAGTGGGAGAATCAAGCTTCAGATCGAATGGCGTTCACCGGCGCAAAGCAACAATTGCTTTAAGTTTCGCCATATGAATGAGGCTCTGAGTGATCGGAAGCCAAACCTTCGTGGGTTAGCAATCTTCCCGATGCAGAACCCTCAAAGAGCCAACTATGCACTTGTAACTCCTATGGTGTTTTCAATGTTCGTCAGCGGCGCCGATTGTTTGCCGTACTGTCTTATAAACCCTCCTTCAACCTGTAAAAATCTCAATACTAAGCCAAGGAGAGAGAAAGACGAAAACGCAAGAAAACAAACAGTATTTTTTATATATTTCTTATTATTATGATATTTCCTTAATTTCACTTCTGTATTACGTTTACACATATGTGGATTAGATAGGTAAAAATATATAATTTTAGCAAAGTTCTAAGTACCAGATATTTATCATTCTCATACTTGGCTCAATTTCTCTCAATATAATCCGAAATCTCAATGATTTACTCGATTCAAAATTAAAACTAGGGTCATTAGACTAATATACTAGTAGAGTAAACGTCTAAAACAATAAAAAGTTCGCTACATACAAATGAGTTGAAACCAGTAATTCAAGTTCTAATAGCAAAAAACAAATTTAAAACTACTTAGAGGAAGTACATGTTATATATTTTATAGTTCTTATAATGGCTAACAATGATTTAGAATAAGAAGTTTTTATTTGTATAGAATGTAGGAATTACAATAAGGTGTTAAATAATATATAAAAATAGGTTAATATTGATAAAGGTTATTTTTTTTAAACTACGTACATTCTGCCTTTCGGCATAAAAATATATGTGTACAAACATCAACATCACCATCATCAGCATCTTGCGCGCATAAAAATATCAATTTTTATCATAAATCATCATTTTTTAAATCGGATTTAGAAGAGTAACATTTTTTTTAACAATAAGTTAGTGAGATTATCTAGCAGGAGTTTACAAAATCATAATTAAATCAATTCCTACCTAGGCTTAGAGTAAGCTCAAAGTTTTTTTTTTCAAAAAAAAGTAAGTAATAGATTCCGAGTTCATCCCTGAAAACAAAATCCAAGCTATTTTAACATTGAGACATCTATTACAATTGTAGATAGACAGTTATGTATGTATATAGGTGAATGACCTCACCCTGAGTGGTTGCGTGAATCGTTGTAAGGTTTTGGCAGCTGTACCAACATCCCGTTGTTTGTCTATTGAATAATAATACAACGCCTTATTATTTACAATAAAGTCGGTAGAGATGAAGATACATTTAATTTTCATGATACTTCTTCCAGGTTCTTTTCTAAAGTTGTATATATCGATACAGAAACTGACTGAAAAAGTGTGACCATGGAGTTTCTCGATCGTTCTGCACTTTGAAATGAGCAGACGAATAGATTGACACGCATAAAGTTAAATCTTTTGATCTTATTTTTTTGCTTGACTTTAAAACGTACCTGTTGTGGTCTATTTAAAATAAATGATTTGATCTTTGACTTTGAGGATTAGGAGTCTAGCCTAGTC